TAATAAGAAATGGGCACGATCATAGTATGCCGTTCAGCCCTGAAGAGGACTGCCAGCGCTGTATCAATGGAGAAATCGGGGGACAATGCTGGAGCTTGAAGAGGGTTAGGGAAGATTTGCAATCTTTTGTTTCATAGGGAGGGTCTAAAAATTAAAAACAAAATTCCCCGAGACCGCTGTAAGCACTCCTGGCAGTTCGTTCCCCTGTCACTGTTTTCTGGCCAGCTTGGCCTGCATGCAAATTTGAACAAATATAAATAAGCACAGTCCAGGGCGTAATCCTCCTGACATAAGCAATGTAACTGGACAGAAGCTTTAGGAGAATATCGCACTTTGTAGAGTCGACAGACAGACTAGAACACCAGAATTCTCACCAATGCGACCAGATCTTGCCACATGTATATTACGCCGGCATCCAGGAGCCTTGAAGGGTCCCTTAAGGAGACATGGCGTAGATGTTGCCTTGAAGATAGGACCCAGTGAGACCTGAAAGCTTTGCCTTGCTATACATGTGACCAGATCTGTTCACAATAAATCAATAAGAAGTAACTCTGGAGTGCTGGTGGCTTTCTACCTTCAAATGGATACACAAATGGAACCATCTATTGCCCCCATCACAAGCACTGGAATGAATGACGGCAATTAACATGCAAGATATAACCACGGTCAATGTGAAGATTTGGAAAATGAACATTTATTTAGAAAAGCCTGAAGGAATTATTAGAGAAGAATGGAGGAAAGGCGATTCTTTAAGTGAAAAATCTATGACCTGCCCTACAAATTGTCAATACTAAAGCACAGTATGGCAATATTTTGATCTAGGGAATTGATGTGGCCACCCCACGGGGTCAGGAAGGATTTTTTTGTTTCACCCTCTAAAAGCAGGGGTGGGGAAACTCCAGCCCTCAAGCTGTTGTGGAACTACAAACCCCATGAGGTATTGCAAGATGCGCACAGAGACAGAGGCATGATGGGATTTGTACTTTCACCATAGATGGAGGGCCGTGCCCACTCCCTGATCTAAAGCAAAACTGGTCATTTCATGGTGTACTTTTATCCTTCCACAAGACCATTAACTGCTGAAGAATGTAAGGAGGAGGAACAGTTGTGAGCCTAGGAGACAAAACCATGAGAGAAGTCCCGAGCAGACACTTACCCCGGTTGCAGCAGAAAAGGCCGGGCGAGGAATCCCTGGGAGGCCCAGCTTGTTGTGAATGGCAGTGGCGGATACAATCTGAGCGGAGGACATGGCCGCCATGTGTTGCATTGCTTTGTCCTTGGCGGTTTGATCCTTTAATATAACAGTTAGCATGCAGTTACTGAATTCGGTGCAGACAGTCGGGTATTTGCGCAGCTACAAGCGTGGATATTAAACATCAGAAAAGCAAACATGCAGCTGTGTGTGGGGGGGAGTCCTGACCTATCGG